GCAAGTCATCAAGGCCCCATAGCCATGGGCATCCCTCGGGACATCTGGAAGGTGGCGGCAGCAGCAGCAGCAGCAGAGATTCCAAAATCTGGGTAACTTTGTCAGTAAATTGACTGATGCTGCTAATGTTCGTGAATCACTTTTCTGATGGCAGCTGGCTTTGCATCACAAATCAGGAAAATATGCGCTGACACAGTAAATTTTAGCAACATAAAATTGCAAAACTTATTCTGCAAACAAACCTGCAATCATTGACTCAGATGTCTACTTCAAAGCATCTCAAAAGTTTCCACAAGTATGTTGAAACTTTTGTTACAGGCAGGGAACAATTTTTTTTGCCAATTTACTACTTTCTGTCAAATTAGGTTGCATGTTTCTGCATTATCCTTCATATAAACTACTTTTAAGTCTTGCATTACGTGCTTGTGACGAAGCACACGGAACTATGAATGGATGACAATTAGTAAAATCCTTACTTAATTCCCAGTGCTTGGATTTCAATGGAATTGCAGCATTTTTCTACTAAGACTTTTCACCTTCTTGGTTTTATCATTTTCAAAGGAAGTGCATGAGGTCTATCAGTATCGCTTTAGATCAGCGCATAGGCAAGAGGTGAGTTTTTCTTTCCTCGGTAAATTAAGTACAGAATCTGTCATGAGCCAAATGGAGACCTCAAAGGCAATTTGTTGTCTTTGTTGAGGAAAATTACAATACTGATCACATTTAGAACGCCAAATCAACCGTGGTGGTTCTTCTGAGATGTGTGAAGACAGAGCGCTGTGTTCTCTGTCTTTGTGTTCTGTGCATGATGCCATTTGTGGCTCTGCAAAGTAGACGCAAAGCTCTGCTCAAGCAGTACAAGGGACTGGGGAGGCATGCTTTGGGGGAACAAAGAGCCTACCATCAAGAGCTTGGGTCATTTGGGTGGCTTGGATCACTTGGTTTCTTGGGCTGGAATCACTGTCGATACACACCAGGATAGTGATGTTGACAAAGGTGGGAGGATACCTTATCTCACGGTACTTTAGTTTAGCAGAAGACTCTTACTAGGGCATGAGCCAGTCAGGAGCAGTGTAGTTGATGTGAGCGTTCCTTAAAAAGTTCAGCTGCCTGTGTCCATCCAGTTGGTTCTTTCCATGGGAGGATACCTTATCTCACGGTACTTTAGTTCAGCAGAAGATTCTTACTAGGGCATGAGCCAGTCGGGAGCAGTGTAGTTGATGTGAGCATTCCTTAAAAAGTTCAGCTGCGTGTGTCCATCCAGTTGGTTCTTTCCATCCCCTTGGTCCATTCAGTGTGTCCTCCAGTGGATCAGGCCCTTCCAGAAGTAAAATGAATCAGTTCTGACCTTTCATATTGAATCAAGAGGCTGGTTTAATTTGACTTGCTCTGGCCCATTGTTTCTTCACGCAGGGAATTTTCACGTTCCTCATTTGCCTCTTCTGAGGGGTCGGATATATTTGGATAAACAAGATTGTTCAGAGCCGGCTCACACGTCCTAAGCAGGACAAAGCCTGTTGCAAGTCATTGAGCTGCGCGGGGTTGGAATGCAAGTTTGCCAGCGCCACGTGCCGTGACAGGGAATTCTGCAGCACTGCCTAGTGCAATTTCTTCGAGCGTGCTTTTAAGTTACCCTCTTGAGCATGATGTGTTTGGTGTTTCTTTTCTTGCAGTTCCCCAAAAGGAAACCCCCAGCTGACCAACTTAGCAGCACGTACTCCTCTCCCAGATCCAGTCATGCCTCCTCTCGAGCTGCTTCCCGGGTTAGTTCCCTCATTTTTAGGGGTTTTTGACAGCTTGGAAGAATGGCAGAGTGGCCGTGCACTTGCAGTAGTCATACGGCTAGGATAACGGGAAGAGAGAAAAACCAACCTCTCAAGTCTCGGCTATCAATCACTGAGACACACGCTATAGTTCCCACACCCACTTTCCTCCGCAGTGAGGTGAGGACCCTTCTTACTTGCACCATGACCCTTCCCTCACGAGAATCCCACCCAACAGATGCCTGCAGAGACTGATCTTGTGACCTCTGCAAGCAGGAGGGAAGTTGAGGTGCTGCCGTGCTGGCGCAAAGACGCTGGTGGAGGCCGAGGCCAAGAGGAGCCTCGGCAGACGGCACGCTCCCGAGGTGACATGCGGCACCTTGGCTCCTCGCTGCCACCCAGTCTGATGCGTGCAGGCTTGCTCTCGGGGGCAAGCAACGAAGTCTAGCGATGGAGTGAAGGAACTGCAGGTCATAGCACGCTGAAGGCCCTGCTGTCAAGGGAGGAGCTTCTTGCCGTTGATGACGACGTCCTGGCTTACGCTTTGTGCTAGGGTGCTGTGCAAGCACACAACCTGCCTGCCCCGCAGAACCCACAGCTGAAGTGCGAGGTGAAAGCCAAAAGCCCAGCCAGAGCGATAACCAGGAGGACACCAGCCAGGGGAGGTTACTGTTGTGAGGGTGAGCGATGAGCACAACGGGCAGCTGATGTTGTTAGTCAAATCGAACTGCTTTCTTTCATTCACAGGCAAATATATGGGTATTAACAACAAAGCCCAAATCATATAATCATTGCTGTATCTTAATGATACAAATATTTCCACAGTATCAGCTGTAGCTCAGGAAATGGCACAAATTTTGACTCATTTAAAATACGGTGATAAAATCCATCTGCGCGCGCAGAGGCATGCGCACATTGAAGACATATGCGTGAGAGTTTATAGGCGTGTATATCCGTGTGGTGCATATGCTGGTATAGATTTGCAGTTCTGTTGCTTGTTTTTCATTTGTCCATCTAGATCTTGCATCTAAAATGTTCCATGGTAACTCTCTTATAATTCTTTGCATCCTTTCTCCCCCTTCTTCTTAGACCAAGTTTTTAGGAGATGTCAAAACACCAGTATTAGCTGCTTTTCTTCACGGCATTCGTAGCGATAAGAAGATCGGAGGCCTCCAGCTCGTGGTTTATGCTGATATTGACTCCATCAGGCCCCGGATGCAGGTATTTGTGTCGAACCTCACGGATTCAAGCAAGTGGAAGCTCTGTGCCGATGCCTCAGTCCTCAACGCTCACAAGGCAGCGGTAAGGCTCAACAATAGCGCTGTGCAGCTGTGTGCCTCGCAGGAAAACCACGCTCCGTGCGTTTAAAAATGGACCATTTCTCTCTCCGTTATAGGCTTACCTGAAATGGGGCCGGAATTGCCAGGACTACAAGATTTCAACTGAGCTGGTAACCGGGCGGTTTGCTGCCCACCCTGCTGTACAAGTGAAACTGGAGTGGCCTAAAGTTCCTTCGAGTGTCAGATCCGTAGCAGAATGGTGAGGTTTTAGCCTTGAGTGATGCTCGTGCGTGGTATCGGTTTAGCTGGGAGAAATCAGCATCCACCCATGAGGTTCTAGTGGTTAAAGGACCAGCTATTGTTTTATTTTCTGATCTGTCCAAGTGCTGCCTTTGGACATAAAAGCTGAGTGGGAGACCACAGCCATCCTATTGTAATGTACTCTTCATGCTGGAAATAATTACTGACAACTGAGGAACAGATCCTTCCTTTCGCTGAGCACTTGATCCGTAGAGCAGAGAGTGGTGACGGGGACCTAACCAGGAATCCTGAAGGCTCTGTATGCTACTTACACGCAGCTGTGAGACAGCCTGGTTGGGATGTGTGCTGTTTTTTGCTTCTCTATTTCACCAGCTCGTTCTGACTTGAATTTTTGAAGGTTTTACAAGTTTGTCCCCGGGGCTGCGTTTATGCTGGGGTTCTCTGAAAAAACGGACAAGAATCCTTCTCGACAAGCCAGGGTGATCGTGGCTCTAACTTCTCCGAGGACATGTGACGTTGTTATCAAGCTTCCTGATGTAATTATGAAATATCATTATCCCTCTCCTGTTCGTTCCTAGTGAGATCATTGCATTGTAATTACAGTGGGTCACTTCTGAGAAAGACCAATTAATCCGTTTGCGTGCAAACGGTGAAAACAACTTGTGTTTATTTTCAACATTTTGATATTACATCCAAGAATATTCACAGAGTGATTTTACTCGTGAGTGCCGTGGGTAGTCATAATGACATGCGTTCGCATCTGTAGTAGCTCCACGAGTGTTCACGTAGCCACCTTTGAAGGGGAGTAATTCATTCCCTCCCAAATAATATCTCAGTGATGACCCACACCATGAGAGAAAACTGTAAGCAGAAGGAAAAAGCTCATGGCCAGCGAATCAGATGAGCTGTGTTCCCATAAAGTCTTTGCCAACCAGAGTACAAGAAACTGAAATCAAATTCCAAATAGGAGAAAAAGCCGATCTTGGCTGTTGGCTGCGAATACCTGGCACGAGCGTATTTTGAATGTGCTCTTGAATTCCTTTTCAGGTGATCCTCTATGAAAAAGCCATGAGGCTTCCCCTGTCACTCCCCGTAGGTCCGAGGATACCAGCTTCAGAGCTGCAGCCTCCCATCTGGAATGTCTTCGCTGAAGCCCCCTCTGCGGTGCTCGAGAATCTGAAAGGTCGGGTCTAGTTGGGTTCAGAAGCATGACCTCCACCGCCTCCCAGATTCCCTGAGCATCTCCTGAATTCTTCTGGGATTGTTTGTCTCCAGTTTAATTAGGAAATGTGCTGTAATAATGCGAGGATGGTTCAACTAGGAGAGAATATTGTGCATATAGTATGGAAATGATCAGCGTTTATAGGGATCAAGATACCAATTATCTGAACTGATAACATTTAAATGTTCTGGCAGTTATTTTTTGCTTGGTAGAGGAGGTTATTTTCCATGCCTTTTTCAGAATTTATGGGTGCTTTGTAGCCCAAAGCCCCTGTAATCCATACAAAAATATCGTGTAGTAGGAAAAAATATAAAGCTGAAATTACATAGCACTAAAAATAAAATATGCCCTTTAATGACTTTCTTTTACGGAAAAGCAAATACTCACTGGCATTTCATTTAACCAGCTCGCTGCTCTGTTTCCCACGACAAGATCACAACCTTTAACGAAGTCCAGTTTAACTACACAATGCCGGCAAACTGCTACCACGTCTTGGCTCAGGATTGCAGCTCTGACCTGAAGTTCCTGGTGATGATGAGGAGTGCTGAAGAAGCCATGAACCTGAAAGCGATCGACGTCAAGCTTGGCAGCCAGTAAGTAACTCCTGCCCCATGCTGGGGGCGTGAGGGACTTGATTGTCCCCTGCGATTCTGTGATTCTGTCCCCATCTAACACAAGAAGATCTTAGATCTGAGCTTCACCGTGACGGTGAGCAGCCCACGGGATTTCAGCCCTTCCCTCATTTACTTCCCACGCGTGTTGAATGTGATGCTGATGAAGTTGTCCTGCATCTCGGGTGACAAGAGCACCCCTGATGTAATTGAAGTAGTTGAAACGAGCTTCTGCTGTGCCCAGTGGTATTTAGTGAGCAGGAAAACGCCTCTGTCGCTGTGAATGTGGTACCAACGGGGTACGAACGCTCTTCTCCTCACCAGTGACATCGAGATGCGTCCTGCGAATGGCCGGGTGAAGCTGCTGGTAGACGGGGTTGAAAGTCCCACGGCAAATGTTTCCTACATATCTGCTGGTAAGCGATGCAGCATCTCTTGTTTCATGTGCACGGATGTTTTAGGAGAAAGAAAGAAAGATCTATCAAAGAGATTCCATCCGGTTGTATCCAATAAGTATTTCTACCTTTGATTATAAGGTTGACGTTTAAGAACATGTATTTTACTCACTTGCATAGGAACTTTAGAAAGACTGGTTAGAGTGTGAAGCTCTTGAAGTGGCCAAACTAAGCAAGATGTACCCAACTTGAAGATCCCTCCTCTTTTTGCAGCTCCCGCTGGCGTTCCAAATTTGAGAAGTGTTTTGGTTATACTTTAAAATCTTGCTTGATGAAAACTTTTTGAAGTAGAGCTTTTCTAACATTCACCACAGTCGGGTGTCAGTGTTTTCCCTAATTTGACTTGCAGGTTATCAGTTGGGCTAGCCTTCTGAAATCTGCTAGGAATTAACACGGAGAACTGGTAAAACAGCCTGCTCGCTTCTCTCAAAGCAGGAATAGTTTTTTCTGTGGAAGGTACAGGAGGACCTTGTTTTATTCCATGTAGCGCAGTCAGGGGCTATATACGACGCAGGTAGAGCTGTAGATATACGAATTGGGCTAACTCTTGCCGAAATTGGGTTAGCATCTGCCAGGGCTGAGCTCTGTCCTATTTGTTATGTACTTGGGAAGGGAGAATTGTGCTAGAAACGGCTCCAGTGAGTGTCACGGCGTTCTTTGTATTTCCTCACTCCAATATAGTCTACTCAGGGCCTTGAATATCAGCACAGCTATGCAGATATTACAGGCAGCTCTGTAAGAATTCCTAGAAATAAATACGAACATGTGAATAACCCAAAGAAAAATTCGTAAACTTGTGATCATAAAAATTGTTTTCCAACTATTTTCCATAGATACATTTCTACATTGTTTTGCTGTACATTTTGCTTCTCGAATAGAACAATTGAGGAATTTCAAGGGGAAAAAAAAAAATTTAGAAACATGACAGTTGCTTTTTTTTCTTTTTCTTTCTTAAAGAAGCCGGGTTGGTCTGGTTTGGTTTTGCTTTTGCTCTGGTTTATTTTATTCTCTTCTAGGTGCTCCTCTGTGGATCCACAGTGAAAAGCAAGGGCTTGTCCTTGTTGCCCCGGCCTACGGCATTGATAAACTGTACTTCGACGGATACACGTTCAGGGTATCGTTCTTCCTCTTCACAAGCTTGTGTGTGGAGAAATGTCCATAGGTTTCTCTTCAATCTGTGTGTATGAGCGCGAGAGCATGCGGTGGCAAAGCCAGATGTGCGCAGGGCCCAAAACACCCCAAAGGGAAGATGACACCACAGGATCGCACACTCCTGTTCTTTATTTCCCAGCGGGAGAAGCGGGAATCTTTCCCCGACAAAAAGACCTTGCTCTTGCGGCACAGGCGCGTGTTGGGAACCGGGCCTGTGAGCGTGCACGCCCGGAGCCAGCCGTGCATCTGCAAGAAAAAGGCGTTTGCAGCTCCTGCCCGCTGTTCTTACAGCCGTCTGAGTCTTCAAATCGGCAAAAACGCAGCCACCCTTTCAAGGTGAACGGCTGCTTTAAGGGCTGCACTAACAATAACGTGAAAAGGGAGCGTAAGAAAGGGTGAGCCAGGCTGTACCTACCACCTGTGCTATGAAAACATCCATCAGGCAAAACCTTCAGCGTATTAATAGTCTAGGTTATTAATAACTCGACGCACGTGACTGGCACAGTAGGTTTTAAAAGCTGTAACAGTTCAGGACGCTGCAGCACCACGGGATTTTTGCATCTGCCTGTCAGACCCTTTTGAGCTCTTACCAAAGAGATTTTAAATGTTGGTGCGTTAACTTTGACGGGAAGAGACCCGCGGAGCAAAACCGCACTCCATAGGTATCACTGGTTTTTAACTTGAATTGATTGTGGCTTTTTTTTCCCTTGAAGATTCAAGTTGCTTTATGGATGGCAGGGAAAATGTGTGGAATGTGTGGAAAATACGATGCAGAATGTGAACAGGAATATCGGATGCCCAACGGATATCTAGCTAAAGATGCAGCGAGCTTTGGGCATTCTTGGATTTTGGAAGAAAAGCCTTGTACAGGAGGTATGCAAGCTCTAATAAATTGAATACAATATTACTGCAGTTGTTCAGAGAATGTAGAAAACTTTAAATCTGGAAACATTTTGGAAATAAAAAGCACTTTAAAAGGATTCCTTATTAAGTTATGTATTAAGTGTTAAAATTACTTGCCAGTTCAGAAAGAAATAAGACATGACAGGTGAAACAAACAAGCCAAAAGACACAAGTCAGTTGAAACTAAATAACTTGGCTGAAACCAAGTCTTTGGTTCAGTTTTGGAATGTTTTAGAAGAAGATCAGAGGGAAAAAAAAAAGCAAAAGGACAAATTCACCCAGAATGCTTTGATTTAAGCTCAACAGCATTTTCCAGACATCGATTTCCAACATTTGCCCCATGGAAAAATCAGATGGGGATTAGCAATCGTTACCGTGGCTGACCACCTGATTTTTGAACCAGTACAACCTGTCAAGCGAAGCGTTCAAGCACGTGAGCAGTTCCAGGGACTTAATTACACGGTTGAAATAATAATAATAAAAAAAAGCTGTATTTTAAGTGTTTGAGGAGATTAGGATCTTATGGGGTGCTGATGCTCCCAGCTGAGGTTATGATGCAACAGCACGCCACAGCGCTGTGAGGAGAACTGGCACGTTGGCTTTGTAAAGAAGACTTGTCCTGGTGGGAAGGACGACTTTGGTCCCTGGAGATGGCTTCTACATGTTTAGCTGGGCATTCCCTGTTGTTCTTCTGTGTCTGTGACAAGAACTGGGCATCAAACTCGCTTTAGGTGGATATGGAGTCCCTGTGTGTGCGCACAATAACATTCCCGTGGTTGGTAGCGACCACATATTGCGTTTCCATTTAACATACGATGGAAATGGCCGGGATTTTAGAGAATAAAGCTTATAGTTGGGAATAGTGGTCCACTGAGCTTCTCATACACTTGTAACTGCTTGTCCTGGGAATCTGAGGTGAGATCAATATGACTGGCTGGTAGCAATGACTTTTAGTCTCTCTCTGCAGCACTTCTGTGGCTGGATGACGGTGGCAATAGCGTAATTCTTCAGTGATTGTTTCTATTTGGTCAGAAATCCCCCCCTTATTTCCACTGCTGAGTGTTCAACACTTCCAATGTGGGTTGGCAGCTGTTCAGTAAGCCAGTTTACTTTGAAAAATGTTTATTAGAAAGTGCATCAGACTCTGCTTCTGCATGCTAATCTAGAAATAAACCAGTGGCATTTGGAATCAACTTTCCGTAGCTCCATATCCAATAAGCTGATTGGAAAAGCTGATCAGTCAGTGATGCTGCTTCATTCACGATCAAAATCCAGTTCCCACAGGGGAAAGTTGTTTGCACATTGGCACCGTTGGCAGATGGGTCCTTCTGGGGAGATCTGAAGATTTTTGGGTTGTAAGTGCCTAAACTATCCCCGGTGACTGTGTTCCAGCCTGCAAACTGCGACGCTCGTTCGTGAAGCTCGAGAAGACGGTTCAGCTTGCGGGGGTAGAGTCCAAGTGCTATTCGACAGAGCCCGTGCTGCGCTGCATGAAAGGATGCTCCGCCACCCAGACTACTCCAGTCACTGTTGGATTCCACTGTCTCCCAGCCGGTAAGCCAACAGAAATCCTATGGAACAGGAGCTGCACAAAATCCGAAATAGTTTGTGCCTTGACTCAGTTATTCTTCTTGAAACGTACGAATAATCTCACATATCCACAGGCAGGGATGGACTTGCTGCGGTATCGACTGAAGACCTTTCCCTGTTTTCATTAATAAGTGAAACTTCCTTTAGCGAGAGAGAGGTTTTTCTGTTGTGATTTTACTGGTTTTCGTAGTAAAAAAAAACCCCAGAATTCAAAATCTAAACAGAACTCCCCTTCGTGGTGCTTTGAGCTAACAAGGTGAGGGCAGGGTCACAGCACAGTCACCGCCGTGGCTCAGCTGAAAGCCTCGGAGTTGCCGCCTGCAAGGATTCGGCCGCCCCCTGACCACGTGCAGCACCCCGGAACGGGGATCCTCGCCTTGCGTGGGTTTGTGTGTCGCCGCCTTTGGGCGCGATCCCATTGCACTGAGCTGATTTAGGCAAGGCCAGGGCAGGCGTGGGTGGGATTCCTGCACACAGCTGCAGCGATATAGGAGGATGTCTCTTTTTTAATACGTATATTGTTGATTATAAGAGATTAGATAAGGTAGATAAAGATTATATAGATGATAAGTTTGTATCTGTTTTCCAAGTCTTTCCTTTAAGACCATAATATCCTTTCCTGAACGTATCATTCATAAAATTCTGCATGGAAGCAGACTTTTCAAGGTAGAACCGGCTTATTAATTAAGTGGGTTTCCTGGAACATCTCCGTGTGACTTAGAGAACTAGAAACACGTGAGCCAGTGAGGAGCAGCCAAGCCTGCTGTAATTAATGACTAGTGCATGGTAAATGCTGTGCCTTGCCAAACTACTCCTGAGTTGTCCTGGTTACTTTTTCATTTCTTGTTCCCCATCAGATTCGGCCACCAGCCTGACGGACAAACAGACAAAGTTTGACCAGAAGTCGGAGGATATGCAGGACACAGTTGATGCCCACATAGCATGTTCCTGTGAGAACGAAGACTGCAGTGCGTGAAGCTGTATGTTGCAGCACGGGGGGAAAAACCAGAAACACTTTAATGTTTTTACTGTGTCGTGTAAGAAAACTCATCTTAAGGAATAATAGAGATACTAAATTAAGTGTTTAAGGACGTGTGGAATCTTCCCAAGTAATTTAAAGTATTAAACTTTATTATTATAGAAACTTATGATTGCCCATAAATACCTGATTTCGTAATAAATCCACGCATGGAAAAAATTACGAAGGCTTCCTTGTTTCACTGGTTATGGAAAGAGGAGGTCTGCGTTGCTCCTCCTCACCCCCCATTTCACAGACTTCTGCAGTCTGTGACGGCCTTCGGTGCACCAGGCACGTGTCCCCGTCAGGCCCCACCGGGGGGTAGGGGTTGGGTAGCTGCGGCACCAAGGTTCCCGCTTGTTTCCCTCCCTGGCGCTGGGATCCTGTGCACCCGGAGCAGGAGCCGACCCGCTCTGCCTGCCGCAGCATCCCCGCAGCCGTGGGGCTCTGCAATGGCCGCGTGATGCGCCAGTGCTGCCCTGGGGAAGGGCCGGACCGGGGAATAAGCCTGAATCTCACCCCAAGGCTCCTCTGAGGGAGTCAAGAGCGCGTTACGTTCCTGATGCACCGCGTGCAGAAGCTCGTGAGGATCAGGGGGTCTTTGAACAGGGCGCCGAAGGGTCCGAAGCGGAGCCGGACCTTTGCCCTTTGGGTGAGACGCCCCAGGGAGCCCTCGCTGCGGCCCCCATCAGCGGGTGGGCTCTGCCTCCTGCCACCCGCTGCAGGTCTGCGTGGGCACGGTGAGGGGACGTACTCATCTGCCACCAGCGCTGGAACCCAAAGGGTTCCAGTGGATCTGGAAGATGTTTTCTGGCTGCCCCTAAGGCTGCGCTCGCAGGTTGAGTACGTGTGAATCTGGTTCTCGGAGAATTGCCTTAGGAGCTGGTGTGGACATAACCATCGATGTCGATGAGACTGTTGGCAGCTGAAGCCACCAGGGGTTTTGCACGGATTTCAGTGGAAACGGTATCGTGCCTTCTTAAGTTTATGTCTGCCTTAACTCATCAGTGTTCTCGCAATTAACACACCCACATCCAGCCGTTTTTATTGCTGGCTGAACACGCGTTCATTTTCTCCTATGGAACTTTGTTAATGCAAAGCAGAATTTGATAGTATCGAGTTGTTAAAACTGTAGATCTTGGGTAAATTAATTGAGAGAAGCGAGTTATTTGATTCTTAAAATCAGTAGAAATCAGTGCAGAAAAAGGGCGCTTACCATGACGGTGTGGAGTGGAGAGGTGATCGCTGGTTAGCTTTTGAAAAAGCTTGAGGACCTTCTGTAGAAATGACTTTGGTTTTGCTTTCCCCGGCAGCTTCAATGAATGCACATGTGTGAGTTTTATTGTTTGGATGTGAGCTTTATTGTTTGGAAAGGTAATGTCCTCAGTACCAAAAGGAGTATGTTTGAAAGACGGGCATAAATACACAGTTATAGGCAGTTTAAAGGCTGCCACGGTACCTTGTGCTGCAAAGTGACGGGGAGCTGGCAGCAGGCAGCTTTTGGGCGCTACCCGGCAGCACCAGTAAAGCTGGTGGGTTTTGCTGCTGGCCTGGAAGTCACTCGGAGCAGGGACGGGAAGCAGACTTCCCCAGTAACCTCTGAGGCCAAATCCAGCAGAAGCTGGGGCTTAGCACGACCCTCGGAGCTCCCAGCTCCGGTGGGAGCAGCCCATGGGGCTCCTCTCTTC